ACAAGTTTTGGAGAAATTTTTATCAAACAATACCTGTTGTGGGAACTGCTTTCAGTGAGATGCAAACGCATTTCCCTTTCATTTCTGCAACGGTTCTGAGCTGCTTCATTAATAACAGACTTGTTTGGGAGACTGACAAGATGGGAACCAGCACCGTAATTACACACTGCTCTTTTTGTGAGGACTGCCATGAAAACAACGCTGTGTTCTCATTTTCTCCAAAGACAAGCAGGGAAACAAATTTCTAACACCTTACCCTCTGTTGCAGCCGGACACAGTTCCAGATTGACATGAATCAATTAAAAGTAATAATGTAACCCATAGAAACATTATTCAGCAAGCTTCATACAAAAGAAAGCATTTCTACTTGCCTAATTAAGAGATGAGAAAAAAAATATATATTTTTGGCAGTGGTTGTGGAAGTACTTTGCTTTTTTTTTTCAAAAGTCAGATCATCATAGCACAAACAATTAACAAAAGAAAAATGTTTCCTTTTCCTGGAGTTGGCTAATTAAAAACTTTCTCCCTCATCAATTCACTGAACTCCAAAGGAGACATTGTGTGGCTTTTTAGCACCTGGAATGCCATATTTATTTTTCAGTTGTAAAACTGTATTATAGTGAACTGTCATACACACAGCTTACCTGGATTCTTTAAATAAAGCAGTGATAATCTTTATCATTGCTCTCTTGACTTTGTTTCAACATTCTTTTTAATGCAAATTTCCTAATCTAACTTGTAAAACATTTAATATTTAGAATATACTCCTTTAAGATCCATCAAAAGAGGCAAAGCTGCACAACAATGCCTGGTGCTGGAGCATTGTGAGCCTGCTACAAAGGAATGAGGTGATTCTTTCTTTCAGGTCAGAAGGTCAGGCTTCACTGCATTAATTTTGCTGAGTCTCTTTGTTATTTATAACAAACAAGGTCATTTATTTTCATTTCCTTGTTTCTAATTGCATGCATCTCCTTTGGAGTATGAACTCAGTAAACAGGTGGCTGAAATGCTGGGGAAAATACTTGAAGCTGTTCCAGAAAAAGGGCATGTCCCACACTGGTAAAGCAATTTGATGAGTTAGAGATTTAGTCATAGCAGGATGTGCACCTGCTTGAAAGCAAACACACTTCTCTTTGGCACACACAGATACATGCAAATTAAAAGAGATTATTTCACTCTGAATGGTGGGATGATATTTGATCAAATTTAACACTGTATATTTTAAATAAAGCCTTGGTATATATTAGTGAAATACAATCTCTTTTCAGCTGCTTTTGATTTTTTTTTTCAACTTCTCTTTGAGTATTACAAATGAATGATATTTCTTCACTGGCTGAGCCTACAAAAAGAGTATGTCTCTGGAGGAGAACTTTATCAGTGGATCTTTATGATGAGAACTGCCTACATGCACTGAAAAAAAAATGGTATAATGAAAAGCTAGGATGTTTGACTGACAAGGAATAAACCAGATCTTAAATTTTTTATTCTAAAATGAATTCCTACAAATTAAAGGGCATTCATTGGAGTGATAGCAGTATGTCTTTTTAATCCTGTAAACCCCACGTTTCCAGGCAGCCCAAATGGAACTCCTAAATATATTCATGGGCAGCTTTTGCATAGGTAGTTATTGAATTTGCATTTCAAAATACTGGCACTGTAGGGCTAAATCTGTGGCTGCTTTGTCCTGAAAGATGAGATACACTGTGGACTACCTTGATTTTAGGGGTATTTGAGAATATAGCAAGAAGCAGTAATTGTCTGGCATGACTGAGCTTCTGTTGTTGGTGGTTGAGAGCAGGTCCAGGGCTGAATCCTTAAGAGAAAAAGAGGGAGATTTCTCAGCAAGGTCTTCCAGTTCCCCAGAGAATGGGAGGCACCATGCCCTGTGTCCACAGGCTCTGCACTGAGCTCTGGAGCTTCAGAAATCTCTCTGAGCAAGGGAAAGCATGGGTGGGAAGCTGGAGCAAAGGATGTACCATCCCAAGAGACAACTTTTTGTCTCTTTTCTAAGATTGGGCATAGAGGGGCTGTTTAGAGGAGGCTCTGCAAAGGGGCATGTATCCTTCTGCTTAAATTGTCCTTTTCTGCAGATTATTTCCAAAGAGTGGGGCAGGGAAGGCAATTTGGTAGTAAGGACTATGCTGCAGCTTTCATTGTTTAGGATGCATACTGTAGCCTTTCTATGAGAAGATTACTGTCCTGGGTTTTTCTTTCCATGCATATAAAAACATACTTTGTAATTTCAGGGAGACAGTATCATTAGATGGTATGTTGGAAGAAAGAAAATATTTTTTATCTCTAAAATCGATAAAAATCCAAATCCTTTCTTTAGCAAAATATTTGTTTCTTGAATGTAATTATAAATGTCATTGTACATTCTTCCTGACTTCAATGCTTATCTTGAGGAGTTCAGCGAAAATAAATTGTTTTCATGAAAGCAGAGAAGCCATTTGATAAACACACTGTCTCAGAAAATTGTTCCTGAAGCAGAGGTCGTTCTCTCACTTTAAAAGAAAGAGACTATGTTTTAGAAAACAAGCCAGGCAGCAGAAAAAAGCATTTTTTCTTTCAGACAATTCATTTTTAAAAGCAATGTGTAAATCACATGGAAAATTCTGCATTGATTATTTTGACTGCTGTAGAACCCTGGAATAAATGAAGTTGAAATAGACTTATATCAAAGAACATTGCATTTAGTACCAAGTCGGAGTGTTATTTTACTACTGATTTTTTTTTTTTTTTTTAGATTTGGTTTTGTGATCAGATGTTTTATTAAACATTAGCCATTCATGGTAATGTGGACTAATTCTTTAAGACCAGCTTGGCACATACTGTTCATGAGCATCAGGAAATAGTCTTGAGAACTGGAATCTGTCTTTTCAACATTGAAAACGTGGCCCACTGAGGCATACAGAAAACAAAAAAAAACCACCATTAACAACAACAAAAAACAAACAAACAAACAAACAAACAAAAAACCCCCAAAAACCAAACAAAAACCGAACCAAAAAACCCCTCAACTCTATAACTGAACATAAATCCTGAATGAAAGTATAGCAGATCATTTAGAGATGTTATTGCAGTCCCTAATCACACCTTCAGAAATCTGTTCCTCAATTTTCAATCTGATGAATTTATGTATGTGTCTATTACTAAGTCCCAAACACTATTGTACAAGTACTTATAAAGTAGTGCTTCATTTTTTTTAATCCTCAGCTAGAATTATGCTGCTATTAATATCAGTGTTATTAATATGCTCTCAGAAGACTACATCATTCATTAGAAGACCTAAAGGATAACTAATGGGTCCTTTGGAAGACTACTCCCAGTTATTGTATGGATCTGATCTATCCAAATAAAGCAGTATGTCTACAGCACTATTCATTTTTTTTTAAATTTTTTGTATCTTCACATTCCCTAGCATTAGCCACTAATTATTTAATCTTATAACCTGTGCTGGTAGATGGTGTGGCATGGTAAGTCACTGTAACATTTGAAAGGGACATGATGACAGCAGCATTTCTAAATGATTCATTTGGTTTTTAAGGCATGACTGTGAAACTACATACTGCTTTTACCTTGTACCTTGGCAGTGTCTCATCAAGTCCTTCACTGCCTTCCAAGAGATGACCAAAAGCCCATCTCTTCCACAGCCACCAAGAGAGGATGTGCATTGTGGTCACTGAGGGTGGACAGAGCCACCTCCCCAGCCTGGGGACAGCCACTGATGCTCACCTTGCCCCCAGGGCACCAGGCAGCTCTCAAGGGTGAGGATGCCCTTGAGCTGGGGATTGTTGAATTATTCACAGAATCTCAGAAAGACCTTTCATTGATCACTCCAGAAACATCCCCGCATCCTTCTTTAGGTGCTTTTTTTTTTGCAATGTGTGCACCTGAAATATATCAGAGGTCGTATTTGTGTATTTCGAACCATTGCCTAAAAGAACACTGGGTGAAATTAAAACTGAGAAACATGCATGAGTGAATTTGTTGCAGATACAAGGATTAAATGTAACCTTTCCCACCTGGAAAAATTCTTCAGAATATCTCCCTAAGACTTTTTATTAAAATAATTCTTTCAGTAATTAGATTTGGTTCTACTGCAAAATGAAAGTTTCTGCCTATCACATTCCTCTAAACTGAGAAATTTAGAGAAGAATTTTGATTTCTCGTGGTGAGCATATTTTTCTTTCTGTAGAATTTTCTTATAAGTTCCCTGTAAAATGTAGATGCCAGTGTCTTTTTCCCCCCCTCATAATAGTTCCAGCAGTTTAAATTCAACAAATGTATGAATGTGGAGAGAGCTGGAGGAGAAAATCAGAAACATACCACACAGCTTTATATCAACAGATGATACAAATTATATATATGTACATGTAATTATATATATGTGTGTGTGTGTGTGTGTATATATATATATCTATAACCACCATCTCTAACCAAGTTTTCCTGTCTTGCTTTAGAATAACATCCCTGGAAGAAAGGAATACACTGCATTAATTTCTTAGTTTCAGTTAAAACTTTTATTCTTTAATGCTAATCTAGTGCTAATCTAGAAGTGACACTGTTCCAGTCATTGTTCCCCTAAATAAGTGAATTTTCATATTACTGGACAGTTCCTTTACTGTTTTCAGTGCTGCCATCAGTTTGTTTTTCACCGTGGTCTTTATCCCACAATAACTGTGTACTCGTGTGTGAGGATACTGTAACACTGCAGTCAATAGCAACAGGATATTCCCTCTGCCAAAAAGTAATCCTATATTGTCCATTACACACAGGTTATTTTGGAAGGTTATGGAATACTTTCTTTAAAGCAGCAGAAACCTTTTGCTGTAACATAGTTCAACAGTATTAATGGTTGCCTCTGCTCTCTAAACAACTCAAATATCTGGTTTTCCGGTAAAATATTATTTGAAATATTGTATATGATTTGAGGTGGTAAAATACTTCAGATAAAGTAAGAGACTTCGGCAACCACAGAAGCATCAAAGAGGCACATGTAAATTTTTGAAAAGTTTAATAATTTTATTTTATTCCCAGTTTCACAAAGTAATGTATTTTCTGATTTGGGCCTGAAAGAATTTTCACAAACCAAAAACTTGCAGTTGTGATTTTTTTTTTCCCCCTTGCAACAATCCATACTTGTATTTTGAAATAAAGATTTATATTTTAAAGGAATGACTATAATTTTTAAATAATCCTTTGATCTGCAGTTCTCTAGATGTGGCAGCTGAGACAATGAGAAGGTAAATGATCTTCTGGCAGGTAAGCACCAAACTCCAGCTCCCCCACTTGTTTGGATTCTCCAATCTGTTGGATGAAATTCTCTCCTTTACTGCAGGAAACGTAGTCAGTGACTAATAAGTATCTATGGATCTCTGCTTGAGATACTTGGTAGGAGATGTAGGTATCAATGAATATTTGATCTGACTTAATGTTAAGAACAAAAGTATTTTCTTTATTGCCTCACTTATATAGGATATTCATGCATGTGTAATCACTTCTAAATGCCATCTGACTTTACCACATGATGAGAAGGGGACTTCAGTGAGATAAATTCTGATTAATTAATATGCTCTTAATTGTACTTTTTCTTAACCAGAAGTTAGTATTGCAGTTATTGCCTTGAAGGGTTAGTCAAAATATTATTGATTCTCAGCAGCTGTACTTGATAAGTAGAATATAGGTCCAATTCAAAATTCATTGCAGTCAATTAAAGGGACTGTCTATTGATTTGAGGAGGCTTTAGACTCTTTTCTAAATCAGACCTGCTTGGTGCTCTTTCTTCTCTCCTTCTGTATTCCACCCTTTTTGTTTTGTGCCCTTCCATCCTCCACATGTGCTCTGGGGGGAAGGGGCTCAGTATTCACAGGTGACAGCAGACATGTCCTGCTCCTCCCTTTCCTCTTCTTCCTCCCAGTTCTTACAGAAGCCAAAAGATAATGTAGGAGACTGAAGGCATAGTCGGTCTTAGGATGCTGAATATTTACCTTTCTGTCTCCCTTTTCTTTCTCTTTCTCCCTCTTTCTTCTACCTTCCTCTTCTTAAAGCTGAACCAAAAATTTCCAGAAAGTACCTTGTTGTGTCTGGACAGGTTAAAGTTTGCCGAGTTAAAAGTTTTCAAAGTGCCTTACTTCATCTGGATGTTTTAAAATTTGCCAAGTACCTTATTCTACTTAAGAGTTCTAAAGTTTGTGGGTAAAAGTTGTTATTGAACCTCCTGAGAATTTGGGTGAGAATTTTGGTGTTAAGAGATCTGGTTTGTTCGCTCTTACCTCTGAGGTCCCTTGCTGACCCTGTGGTTTGCTGGAGTAAATCTTCCAGTGCCTTTGTTACTGAGCCTCAGGTACTACTTCCATGTTACTGAACTGACACAGGGCTCTAAGGATACAAAGTTTGGGCTGGCATGAGAGAAAAAAAAAAAAAAAAAAAAAAAAAAGGGTTGCAAGGCTTGTGTGGGAATCAGCCAGGCTTGGAACATTCATATTTACCTGTGCAAGTTGAAAGGTTCCTGGGCAGCAGTGAGAATTTGTGCAGGCACACTTTCAAGTATGTATATGACTGATTCACTCAATACAATTTCTGTTCTTACATCAGAAAAGCAGTTTGAGTGCTCTTAATGGCTTTTAAAATTGAATTGTGATGATGAGTCAGAAGAAAGTATAGCTGAAGATGGAACAGAGTCACCATTTGTGTGTTGCTTCCTGAATCATAATTGTTGGCATCAGTAGGCATACATTCAAACCTTTATGAAACAAGGCTTTTTTAAAAGTTTCTTTGAAATTGAGGCTACCCAGGACCAGGGAAATTACGGGAGTACTCCCCTTACTGTAGATAGTATAGATGCTTGCTTTTATTAAACTAGCAAGGAAAAAAAGAATACTTACTCAAAATTGCAAATACTTCATACTCCATCTACTCTGAAAGAAAAAAAAAAAGATAAAAGTAGACTTTCAAAGCCACAGTTTTACTGAAGCACCTTTAAGAGAATGGCTTAAGAGAATTTGTTGGACTCCTTTCAAGCATCATGTACAGAAGTTTATAAATACTTTGGCTCATTTTTCATCTTTAAGGTACTCCTGAGATAAATGCATTTAAATGCATTGTAATAAAAAACATGTAATGACGTCATGCATATGCATTAAAAGTATAGCAGAGATGACTCAAGTTTACTTATTTAATATACTACATGGAAGAGGTGTTGAGAAAGAAAAACACACACTTGCCTAATTCTTTAGTTTGTACAATTCTCTCTGGTATAGTATCACATAACATAATATTTTATTTAAAAAGAAAAATAAATTAGCATATATATGCCAGTTTCTCTTCTGCTTTTCTTTAGATCATTTTGGATCACTAATTCATTTCACTGCAGTCATACTAGTTCTGCAAAAGACTTAATTTGGCCACTAGGTAGAGGTGACAAAAGTAGATTGTAGCTAGGAAATGTAATTCTTTTATTGTTGAAAATATTGAAGTTCTGCTTTATTTTCATGACAGTATAAACAGAGAATATTTCAAAATTTGTCACCAAATAATACTTTGGAGGTGTTTTGCCTAGCTTGAATGTAATTACTTTTTTTTTTTTTTTTAATGCTGACTGAGTCTGTTGCGATTTCACATCAACCTTCTGAGCCAGTGATGCAGTGATGTCAAAACAGAATATTTTTAAGTATTCCTGTTGTGGGTATTACTTCCAGAAGGAACTGTGTTGGAAACAGCAGAATACTTAAAACCATTGCCCTTTACATCACCGGTATTTGCTCGTGTCCTGACCCCAAGTCTCCTAATCAGAGGCAGTAGTTGCTGGTCCCCTGCAGCACCTGCTGTGCCTCCCACCTGCAGCCTCCCACTGCTGGCCCTGCAGCAGAGGCTGCTGCTGGAGCAGGGAACAGGAGAGGAGGGCTGGGCTGTGCTGCCAGGCAGTGCCCAGGGCCATGGATCACACAGCTCTGCAGCCTTGCAGTGCTGCTTGCAGTGCAGCAACAGCACCAAAGCCAGACTTGGAATCATTTGCTGTTTGCTCCCCACTCATGTAGTCTTCCTCCGAGTTCTGTGGAAATATGCTTTCAGATTTCATTAGAAGTGCAGAGACCCAGAGCTAGGCAGTGGGAAATAGCTGCGTTCACATAGCAGAGCAGTCTAGAACTTGAGGGCAATGATCTGTTCCTATACCTAAGAATCAGTTTAACGTAATGTGCACTTGGGTAGAATTCTACTTTTACTTTCAGCCTCAGTTGAAAGATGTTTACTGTGCCTGTACACCACACCTTTTCCATCGCTGTGTTGGAGAAATGCTCTAATGTGATGTTGCATTCTGAAACAGTTTCATTGTCTTTTTCTGAACAATTTGTTTCTCTCAGGAGCATAAGTAATTTTTTGCCACAGATACGGGGTGTTCCTGTGTGAATATTCTGTGCTGTATGTGCCTTAACCATTTCTCTCCTAGTAACAGGGTACGTTTTGCAGTCTTTTGCCTTTGGTTAAAAACAGCTGCCACAATGAATATGAAATTGGATTATGTATTTGACAGTGTATGCCTGTTATCTTTGCTATCGAGGCATTTACCCATTCATACACAGTTTTCTAGAAAGTTAAATTCTGAATGCTCTATGGAAATACAAATATGTATCTATGCTATGTTTAATTCTGCTCTTAGTGCAAAATACCATGCTAGAGATGTTTGCTTCAAAGTGTGATACTTCAGAATCAATACCCTGAATAAGGGTGATCTGGCATGCTCCTGGTCCTATGCAACCAGGAGCGCCACCACAAATATTGAACATAAGATTTCTAGGAATGGAGTTGGGAAGATGTTCCTTTTTACATGATGTAGCTATTGACTGTTTTACAGTTTGCTCCCAATGTTTTTAGACAGTGAAGAATTATGCCTGGAGATGAAGTATTGGGCACTAAGCTCCTGAGGAAGGCATCAGAAGTGTGACTGAGCATGTGCCCAAGGATGTGTGTCCTTCAGAGCAGGTCTTGCTGCTGTTGTACAGTTAAGCCTTGTATTCTTGTGTTACCATTGCTATTTTGCAGCTGAATGGAGGAATCTCTATCTGAGGCGTACTTTCAGCTGCATGAGAACTGCCCAGGAACCCACCCTAGACCCAAAAGGCAATCCTCTCCCAGTCACGGAAGCCTTGAGTCCAGGGCGTGTTTCCATCCTTCTTCCTTGCACCTTGTCTGCAGGGCTCAAGCTGTTAGGTTAACTGGCCTTGTGCTGCTTTAGTGTTTTCTCCAAAAGTTCTGGGCCAGATTTTCGGGTCAGCAAAGCCCCGTGCAAGGGAGCAGACACGGCCGGGCTGTGCCTACGACTGACAAAACAAATTTGGGTTATTAGCGGGTTGCTTTGACTCATCACCCGGAGACTTTGAGAGTGAGGAGGTTTCTGTAAGTGAGGCAGGCTACTGTGGTTTAAAGTCTTGCTCTTGACAGCACGTTAGAAAAACCTCGTTTCTTCTGCTACCAACCAGACGCAGCAAGGCAGAGGTGTGAATCGATAAAGCGCATTATCCAAAAAAAAGGAAAAAAAAAAAAAAGGCGGAAAACTGGTGGAAGCGGTGAAAGTTACTCACCTGGAACCTTCCGGGAGCGAGGACAGCCATGAGCAGGACCGCTCGCTGCCGGCCCCGCTCCGGCCCGGGCGGGCGGGCGGCGGCGCGGGCGCGCAGCGGGCGGGGGGAGCGGC